ACACGCATATGTCAAAGAATGCCCAGCCACAAGAAAAACTGTTACATGCTTTCCCTATAAATGACATATACAATGTCATCCTATTGAAGACTGTGGCATCATTATAGTGCCCTGTCATGGCAATTGTCATTACTGCACTAGCGTACCTGGTGTTATAAGCATATAGGGTACAACAATGTAAACAGCACCTATGCACAAACAAAAATTTTTTTTGACAAACTACTTTATCCAAAAATAAAAGTAAAATGGGGACAGCCAAATTTTGGTCATGCCACATTTTACAAACAACTATGGGAATAATTTTATTTTATCTATACAAAGTGATTTTATCAAAATTTAAAAACGAAGTTAAATTTTTTTTCTAGTTTAAATGTTTATCCCATGATGGACATCTAAGTAAAGAGTGCATGGAAAATAGCACTCTTAGATTTGAATCTGGATGCTTGTTAAAAGGTAAAAAGGATTATAAAAAAATCACGGGTGCTGCATTTTTAATTAAAAGAATGTATCACATTTTTATTAAATAGTATATTAGGTGTAATGCATTTTTCTTTTCATTTCTACATGACATTGTTAGCTACTTAAGACAATGAAATGGGCATTCACATTTTTTTAAACATTCAAGTATCGGATCATTGAACACTATTTTAATTGTGTGTCTGTATCATTTTTCAATCTATCCAGACAGTTTAAATATTTATTCAATGAACAATGCAAAGGGAACAATACATTTTTTAGTAACAAAAAAGTAACAAAGGAAGCAGCAATGTTTATGCCAAAATAGAACAGTCGAAATATTGTATAACAGCTGTTATAAAATTTGCTGGTTTTGGCCTAAATTCTATCAATTTACCCCAACTATTTCTTTATTTGATTTTTTTCATTTCATGTTAATATATAATATAATACATAATTCATAAATTTCAGTTAAGGTGATCCTAAATTACTGAATGTTTTCAACAACAATTTAAAAATGACATGCCTGCCAACCTGCCATTTCGGGAAAAATAATTCAGCTGAAACAAACTTTCCCACCATGTGCAAGTCTACTGAAGATCACCTTGACCGTATCCAAAAACGTTCTGTGTAGTAACACGTGCTCTGAAGAAACTGTGTGAAAGGAAACAAGTCTGCAAATCAATATTTGGACTGAATGTCAAAGACTAGCCAGAACAAGGCATACAAGAGACAAAATGTATGAAGAAAATCCTTGGTATGAGGACTGATAACTAGAGACTGGATACCTATACATGAAATATGGAACCCCATGGTTATCTTGATGTTGAGGGCAGTCTTAAACTAATCAGTCAGTTGGATCTGTGATTAGCAGAAGAACACATGGCAAAATTCTATTGGTATTTTGTATATGGCACATTTGAGATGCCCGGTGGCCTTAGTTACGATACCAAGCAAGGAAAATAGTGATAAAGCTGTTACATCAGAAGCATTTGAAGTATAGCAATCAAGCTAATTCTCCAGTTTCAAGCCCATGAACACAAACTAGAGAAAAGTGCAACGCTCTCTTAACAAAAGGAGTTGAATGCCTATTTGCAGACACCATTGCAATAGATTATTTTCAAGACCACCAGACAGATTTTACAACATGTTATTTCAATAAAACCATCTACCTTTATTGGAAAGATTCCCTAAGTTTGTTTTATTAAAAATGTCTAAAGGGCAGCATTACTGAATATTACAATTTAAATACATTCAGACCTCTTAATGCTGCAGGCTTAATCTCTGCCAAGCCTTTCTTATTTATCAATCTAAGTCCAAATATTAATGGATGATTTATGTTTTAAATAAATGTAGCACTGGTTCAATACTTAAATACATGGACATCTAGAACATATTTTACACATCCTTTCTCAAGTATAGCCTGTAACTGCAAGAGACAATCAAAATACAAACTATCTATATGTCACAGACTACTGAAATAATTTTGGTAACCGTATAAATAGCATGATATAAACTCCATACTATCTTGCTTTTTCTTACTTGCTTACTTTTACTTGAGTTGTTTTAGAATGGCTTCTCCAGGTAAGAACTAATTGCTTTCTTTTTTAACCCCTCAAGGACACAACTTCTGGAATAAAAGGGAATCATGACGGAATATTTCCGTCATCTGTCCTTAAGGGGTTAATGTGTTATACAGGTAATGCCTTAAGTATATGCAAAAAGAAATAAAAGTAATAATAATTTTTTTAAAAAAAAACACAACCTTACATTTGATATTCCTGCATTTGCTGTAGATCACAAAGTGCATCCAATAATGATAATGCTGTTTAATTAACTTTTTAATGCTAAAGTCCTTGCAGAAAAATGCTTTATGATTACACCAAGGGTTTCTGGAAGTTGTTTTCAAATTGTCAGTATTTTACTGTAAGAAACTAACAACTGAACTACAACTCCCAGAAACCATTGTAGGTAACCTAACTTATACAATACACCTAAAATGCATAAGTGCCTCAAGGATCCCTTCAATTACAAATTAAACAAATGTAGGGGGACATAATATTTGTCTAAAGTAAGTCAAGAACTGTGTGTATGATCCTGGTTTTAAAATTAGAATGTCTTACAATTGTTTTCTTTGCATTTCTAAATATCCATCCAAATATTGTTTTTTGTGGTCTTTGTAGCAACCTCTTGACTATGTGTTTTTGTTATTTCAAAGCAGTTTCCCCGCACTATACATACTTGCTAAGAATGACTGAAATGTTCTCTTTTTACACTGAATCACTGCTGTGGGTGGTCATTTAGAATCCCACGGTACAATCATATATTTTGTTACTTTTGGTATTAAAGGAATATTTTTATGCTTAATATAAGATTATTGTAGTTTAACCAAATTCAATTATTTTTCTACTTAAACAAGTTTTGGAGGGTTTACATATTAAAAGTTAGCATGCACTTTGAATACAATTTGCGTCTTATTTATTATAGAATCTCAATATATAGATTATTATTATTTTATCATTTATACAGCGCCAGCAAAATTCTGTAGCGCTGTACAGTGGGTGGACTAACAGACACGTAACTGTAACCAGACAAATGGATGCACAGGAACAGAGGGGTTGAGGGCCCTGCTCAATGAGCTTACATGCGAGAGGCAGTGGGGTATAGTGACACAAAGGGCAAAGACATAACTAGAAACCATGGGGAAAATTGCCCAGGGCCCCCCCGTACATTATGTCCGCCCGCCACTCTCTGCCCATATGTCTATTGTCCCCCTCCCATATGTCTATTGTCCCCCTACCATACGTTACCCATCCCCCCACACATACAAACAGATACTCATGCAGACAAACGTAGAAACACACACACATACAGGCACACACACATACAAACACACAGAGACACATACATACAGAAATACACACACACACAGACATACATACATACATACATACAGACATACACACACATACATACATACACACAGATACAGACAGACAGACACACACACACACAGACATACACACACACAGACAGACACATACATACATACACACAGACAGACATACAGATACACAGACAGACAGACGTACACAGACAGACAGACATACACACATACAGACACACACACACTCACATACAGACAGACATCCACACACATACATACAGGCAGACAGACACACACATACAGACATACACAGAGACATACACACACTCATATACAGACACACAGACACACACTCACTTACAGACACACACTTACAGACACACAGACAAACATACACACTCACATACAGACACATAGACAGACATACACACACTTACATACAGACAAACACAGACACACACACACTTACATACAGACACACACACACACACACACACACAGAAAGTCATACAGACAGACATGCACACACATACAGACACATACACAGCAAGACATACAGACATACACACATACCTTTCCCTGGGGTCCAGTGGTGGCTCAGGCTGATGGGAGTCAGAGTTCCCACTCTGTCTCCCTCTTCTTCCTCCCACGCGACTCCCAGTGGTTGCTGGGAGGAAGTGACCGGGGCAGTCACTTCCTCCCAGCCTCTGACATCATCAGAAGACCGGGTCCCCCTGGAATTACATAGTATCGGGTGGCCCTAACAGCCTGGGCCACCCGATGGGACTCTTCAATGCGGCCGGCTTGGGCCGCATTACTCAGCTGGCAGGGCCTGGCCACAGCTGCGACCCCTGCGACCACGGTAGTTTCGCCACTGACAAAGGGTATAAGTTGGGGTGATAAAACAGGTTGCTAGAAAAGTATTCACTGGGTTATTTTTGACAATTGCAGGAGAGGAGTCATGGGGGGGGGGGGTGAAAATTCGCTAACAGTTTAAATGATAACATTATCTGAAGAAGTGTTTTTGCAAAGATTTTTAGATCATGAGAAACCAGAAAATAGTGGATATTGAAATATAAAATATCAATAACAATAGCACAGAAAGAAGATAAGAAAAAGAAAGAAGAAAATGAAACAGCATGCAAAGAAAGAACTCAAGGGAAAAACATGAAAGTACAGGCTAAGTATTGCGTGTGAAAAAAAAGCAAGAACATCAAAAAGTTAAATAAGTTATAGATGACGGAGGGAATGGTGGTAGGTTACATTTAACATGACATATCTCTCACGAACATTTACATGATAAAACAAAAATAAAACATTTCATTTTCTAATAAATCACTGATTAATATTATGTCCATTTCATATATTCCAAGAGGAAACCATCACAGAGCAATGACTGTGGGGCTAAAACTTTGACTAGTCCGTGTCGCCCTTACAACCCCAAATAGTGCGTGAACAAGGTCGCATGGGTGACGTTGGTCTCCTGTGGCCAAAAATGATGCAATGCTTCCTATGAATGTAAGAAAAGGGAAACCACAAGCGTGCAGTATTCTTCTATCAGCCCAGAGTCATAGGAGTGACTGGCTCCTCTTCAGTGCATTCGGTACGTTTGGGAAGTCTAAATTTCAGCGCCCATCTGGAAGGCACTACAAGAGAAATGGACCAAGAAGCCACAGACTCCCGATCGATGAACACAGGACATGTAAATATTCAAGAGCAAAGTGTTGATTGGGTTGGGACTATGACAGTACACTTCCTTCAAGAAATGCCCACTGGGCAGGATGAACCCGACTTTGCCAGAAAAACAGGACTGAGAAACACGTACATGACAGTGGGGATTGAACATAATGGAGCATGGAGTGCTGAATACGCCTCAGCACTGTACCACTTTCCAGTACAGACTACCCCTCATGCTCCCCCTGCCCCTTTAAATTCGCAAGAGGAGGAGAAGAAACAGGCTTAATGAACCGATTACACACAAGAAACTTCAGCAGAGAGATATTGAAAACATTGGGAATGTGCATTCCCTTAAGCAAATCAAGAGCATACATGACTTAAGGGACCAGACCTGTAAGGCTAAAATCCACCTTAGGGTATCATAAACCAGGTCATCACCATGGAATTGATAAACAACGTCTGTTTCTGCTTTCTCTCTGGTCTCTCTGAAGCACTGGGGAATACTTGTTCAATTTAGACACAGGACACAGCATCAACACATGCCAGACAAAGCAGACGTATCTTGCCTTGTATATCAACTGGAATCTCAACCTTACAATGACTTTATTGACCTTTGCAAGATCCAAAAAAGACCGGACAATGGAAGCTCCTATGCCATGGGCTTTTGAAAAGGTGTGAACGGCAGCCTCCAGACCATGGCCTATGGGCCTGGTCCCAAGAGTCCTTAAAAGGGACTTTTTGTCACTGTGGGGAGGTTATAGGGCCCCGGAAGCTTACTGTGATTCCCAGCTTGATTTAAGGTCCTATGGGGATCATCTGGACTCATTTTACACCTTCAGTGCCTGACTGGGAGATACCCTGAAACACTCTGGAACTGTTCCTTGGATTAGGAGTGTGCAGAGGTCTGGTAACTCTTTAAGCAGGTAACACTAGGTCCTACGATCTTCAAATACAGCGCTGTCTTCTTTCCTGTTTCAGTTACCTTTTAACTCCATTTGGGGGGGTGAGGGTGGGGCAGCCCCCTAAACATGTAGTCCAGCATTATATTGTTAGGAATACATGTTTTCATAATAAAATTACAGGCAAATGCAGTATTAATTCCAATGTCAGAATTAAGGATTTTTCCCACATCCTTTCCCGAGTTATTCATGCAATATACTATACACATGTGGTTTTCATGTTTTTAGATATAACTTTTTTTTTCTTTTACTATTTTTTTTTTTTTTTACTATTACTATACCCTTTATCTAACAGCAATATGTGAGAACTTTATTTCTTTATATCAATCATAGAAAAACATAAGTAAAAAAGTTCTGCAGCTCTAAATTGTGAATCACCAGGTTTGTTCAGCCATCGAGGCTAGACTGAGAAAAATGTTTCAGCACTCCATGTGACCATCTAAACAGAGCTTTTCACTTTATGAGCTCTCCAGGTGACATATATGGCTCTCTAGGCGTCTGCAATGTTGTCAAACGTTTTCTTGAATGATGATGTTGCATGCATCTCTCCCACTGTACATATATTTTTAGAGATGGAAGAACATTTATTATTGCTCAGGATGCCAGAGGGGTTAGGATTATTCCTGTCCCTAATCATTTCATCATATGTCAATCATATTTGCATGTCATAAACAAGGCTCCTTCTGGCATAGTTCTTGCTTTCCCTACAGATGTCCAGCAGGGCATTAGTTAGCAATAAGTGTAAATTTATCTGAATTTTATAGAGGACTGGTTTAGAAAAATAAAATACCAACAAACACACAGCTTTAGAAATTAATCTTACACTTACGAAGTCTGTGTACTGATTTATTTTCACAGCACCATGGTTGGCTCCTGCAGGCTGTAGAGAATAAAGTTAATTAAGACAAATTGAATGAATTTTAAATATGTGTTACAGTTCATTTAATTGGACTAGATTTGATATAGCGATGCACTTTATCATTGGACCCCTCATCCCTCCTGCTAGTTCCCACATCAAATTAAATGTAAGCTCATGTACAGTTTCTCAATTTAGGACAACTAATTATAGGCATGACATTTAAAATATGAAACGGTTTTGATAAAAATGCAATGCCAAAATACACTTTTTACGAGAACTATGTGGTAAAAGGAGGTGATATGCAAAAAAATTTAAAAACTGGTATGCTAAACATGATTAATGTACAATTTATAATTTGATTAATGATTCAATGAAAATTGTGTGTTTTTTTTATGTTAGACCTATTCTGCAAAATAGTTCACAATATTTTCTGACACGGCTGATACAGGAGAAGCAGCTCATGGGCAGATGTGATGTTTGTCCATAAGTCCCCCAAAAAATCCAAATCGTAAAACTTATTTTATTTCTCTATTTCTTCATTTTCACTTGTTTTCCTATTTACCTCCCTTACAGTATTACTGCTTAATGAATAACTATTGTAGCTTCCATCCTCAATAGGAATAGGAACACTGGGATCAGTGAAGGTTAGTCACCCAAACTAGCACACAAGGGACAGAAGGGAGCTCACCAAGGCCCAGACCAGCAGCTAGAGACACGAGGCAGAAAGAGGCAGGCACGGGCAGAAACAGGAAGAAAACGCTGTGAAAATCCGCGAGGAAAAACTTCCAAACGGGTGAATTTGTATCGCGACCAAGGTGAGTTCACGTGCCAAAAGCATGTAATAAGACAATACACGAAAAAGGCAATGAAATGAAACAACAAACTAGACAGACACAGATAATAGCTCAAAAAGCCCCTTTCTACAGAGGAGGGTGAGAACCTTGGATGCTAGATTAAGGATTGCAACTTCGTAATCTGATTTGTCCTCTATTCTGTAAACAGGAGGTAATACGTGCAATGCAAAATATGTTCTCTTGTTGCTATTGTAACTAAGACCTGCGAGTCTCACACTGTACCTTTTTCTGATCTCTGATTCAATACAAAATTCTTAATAAAAACAGATTTACAAAAAAAGAAAAAGGCAACGAAAACCACTGTACGGTCGGGTACGAAACCCACGAACGAATAAAGTTTGTGAGCCGAATGCAGACGGGAAATAGATGAACAGGCGTTTGCATGCGCCCCAAAATGAGAACGAGAGCATGAAAAACCGCAAAAGGGCGCCAAAAGGGTCCTGGTACAGAAGGAAAAGTGGGGAAAAAATGGGTAGATACAAGTACCCAGGGAAAGACAGACCAAGCACAGAATGAGGAAGAGAGGAAGCAAAAAAGGGGCATACACCACCCTAAGTGAGGGAAGGGAAGGAACCCCCTCCTCCCAGCTGGCCTGGGACCCAGGGCACAGTACCAACAACACACAAAAAAACAGGTAAAACAACCAGGTCTATAAGGTAAACCCAAATACAAGTTAAACTAAAGTCCCCAAACCTACAATTAGCAAAAACCACCAAAATAGTACAACTAAATCACAAGACACAAATATAGTACTTTACTGATCATGGAGCAGCAAAGAAAAAGGAAGTGTAAAGGGAGTTTCTGTCTATTATACTGGGACTTGGCTTATATCACTATGTATACCATATTTTTTCTTGCTGTTTTTTATTCTTTGCTGCTTGGTGGACAGTGAAGAAAGGGATATGCAATATGAACCTCCACATCTTGTGATAAAATCCCATTTTGTGTATTGCTAGGAGCAGGGAATGGATATATAATTTGCGCTACTGGTCCATCTCTTTACATTTCACAGGTTTAGAATAGTCTGTTCAAAATAGTCTGTGGTGCTAACATAGGTCTCAAATCAGATATAGATATCAATAGAAAAGTGCTTTATTAATTTGTATTCTGCTGGGAGGCATACAGAGCCATATATCTGGCTCTACTCAGATGTTAGTATCAGTAGCATAGAATTTGTCTGACAGAAAATGGCAGTGAAGGCCGAGCATGGTAGAAACTGTTAGCAACCATCTTAATTTTTGTAGTGCGATATAATTACAGGCAAGTGTGATATGCCACCATAGCAATATCAAACATTTCACAAGACACAACAGTGGCACATTGTAGTACTGCACATTTTTAGAATAATCATGCTATGGCATGAGCAAACAGGTTATAGAACAGAAAGGTATACCAGAGAGCAATAAATTGGCATTGCTTGTGAGTGATAGTCATGCTTATAAAACATAGAACTTGGATTAAATTTCCACTGGGACAGCAATCAGAGACAACAGGTCATCTTAAGCAGTATAATACAACACAAAATGGTGGATTTTTAAGGTGGATTTTAAGGGTTCCATTCCATCATGGATAGACTAAGCAAACATCTTGCTATGGTTACCATCACTAACCTGGGATACCTGTGTCATGGATATTAGTAATGTTAAAAGAAATCAAGTAAATCAAAATGTCATAATTATATATAATATGCCAGACAATAAAAATAATATATATTTTTTTCAATAATTCAACAGTAATCACTGTTGTATATGTTTGTGCAAAGTTTCTCCTGCACATACTAAACTAATTCCATCTTTTTCCACAGATCTATCTGAAGGTGTAGTGCTTTTTACTTAAAATTCAACAGAATTTATCTCTTATTTTGGTTACAGCACCCAATACATTTTTTTTATTTATTAAGCGGTTCTAAGATTTTGCTAATTAAATATTAACAATCTAATAATAAGTGTAGCAACATTAACTTGAATTTTAATTTTGCACATGAAATGAACTCTGGGAAATCTTAACACATGAGCTTTCTCGTAACCTACTTTTAACCAACTTCAGCAAATCAGGACTGTACGTAACCTATTAGAGATACAGACGTTTTTCTGATTCCTCTTTATTACAAAATACTTTAAAATGGCACAACAAAGTAACATGACGTGCATCATACATTTGGATGTCTTTACTCAAGAGTTGATTTTGCTTTACTGAAGAGTATAAAATGTCAACATTTCAAAATACAAAACTCATTCAAGTCAGAAAAAACAAGATAAGTTAATTTACTATTGAATAGGTTAATCAATACAATTAAGCTGCACAAATTGCTTTTCATTTAATGGTCTTATTATGGCATATTTAAATGTCTGCATAGCAAGAAATATTTTTGCATATCAGAGTAAGACTTGGTAGAGAGGATTTATTAAAATTAAATTAGCAATATCTTCATGCAGAAACTAATAAATAATCAAGCACGCTAGACAGAAAAACAATGAACCTACTGCTCAGAAGCAGCTTGGCTATTTACATTTACGATGTAGGCAGTATGTGCTAGATGATACTAAGTGACTGAGAAATTAGATTTTTATTGGGTCTTTCCCTTCTTTTTTGTGAATCACGTCTATAGTGACTT